TTGAGCCCAGGAGTTTGAGCTTGCAGTGAGCTATGATGACATCACTACACTCTAGCCAGGGTAACCGAGTGAGAGACCCTGTCTCCAAAAAAAGAAAAAGAAAAATGAACAGAACCTATGGGATACCATCAAGCACACCAATGTGCACATTATGGAATCTCAAGAGAGAAAATGGGGCATAAAAAATATTTGAAGAAATAATGGCTGAAAACTTCCCAAATTTGATGAAAGACATGAATCTGGGGATCTCAACAAACTCCAAGAAGAAATAACTCAAAGAGATCCACAATGAGGCACATACAATGAAATTGTCAAAAGACAAAGAAAGAATCCTGAAAGCAGCAAGAGAAAAGTGACACCTCACAAGGGATTCTCAATAATATTTACAGCCAATTTCTCATCAGAAACCATGAAGATCACAAGGCAGTGGGATGATATATTTAAAGTACTGAAAGAAAATAACTGTCAAACAATAATTCTATGGCTGGCTAAATTTCTTTCAGAAAGGAAGGAGAAATTAAGATATTCCCATATTTTAAAAAAGCTAAGTGAGTTTGTTGCCAGTAGTAGACCTACCCTGCAAAACATACTAAAGGGAATCCTTCAGGCGATTGAAAGGACACTAGACAATAGCTTTAAGCCATACAACAAATAAGTATCTCTGGTAAAGGTAAGTATATAGGTACATATAAAAAGCTAGTATGGCCGGGCGCGGTGCTCAGGCCTGTAATCCTAGCACTCTGGAAGCCGAGGCGGCGGATTGCTCGAGGTCAGGAGTTCGAACCAGCCTGAGCAACGAGACCCCGTCTCTACTAATAAATAGAAATATTAATTGCACCTGATATGTATATAAAAATTAGCCAGGCATGGTGGCGCATACCTGTAGTCCCAGCTACTCGGGAGGCTGAGGCACAGGATTGCTTGACCCAGGAGTTTGAGGTTGCTGTGAGCTAGGCTGACGCCACAGCACTCACTCTAGCCTGGGCAACAAAGCGAGACTCTGTCTCAAAGAAAAAAAAAAGGTGGTTCCTCACATAATTACTGTGACTTTACAATTTCACTTCTAGGTATATATTCAACAGAAATGAAAACTGACATCCTGGTTTAAAGTCAAATCTGGATTCAGATTTCAGTTTTCTGCTATTTAATATGTGACTTTAAAGAAATAACTTCTCGCTGAGCGCGGTGGCTCACGCCTGTAATCCTAGCACTCTGGGAGGCTGAGGCAGCGGATTGCTCAGTCAGGATTCGAAACCAGCCTGAGCAAGACCGTCTCTACCAATAATAGAAGAATTAATTGACCAACTAAATATATATCAAAAAATTAGCCGGCATGGTGGCGTATGCCTGTAGTCCCAGCTACTCGGGAGGCTGAGGCAGTAGGATTGCTGAGCCCAGGAGTTTGAGGTTGCTGTGAGCTAGGCTGATGCCACGGCACTCACTCTAGCCTAGGCAACAAAGTGAGACTCTGTCTCAAAAAAAAAAAAAAAAAAGAAATAACTTCTCTAAGCTTTAGATTCCTCACCTTTATAAAATGCTAATGATACCTACTATGTAGAATTTTTGTTGGGATTAAATGAGATAATGTTTAGTAATTACTGAGCTCAGAGAGGTACTCAATAAATAAAGATGTTGTTATTAATAAAAATGTTGAAAGAGCAGTTGGAAAAATTAAGTTCTAAAACACTTGGCCTTCTATATCCTGACTTTTAGCATTCTTCTAAAATAATTGGTTTCATGCCCTTTTTCTGTGAAAACTGGAGCATTCTGCCAGAGGTAGTAGTGAACTTGTCAATAAATTCAAAGCCCAACCTTCTGGATACCAGGGAAGATCAGATAACTTGTGCAGAAATATAGGGGTTCTCAGAAACAAACATTTCTCTCTACTGATCAGTGTAAACTTTACAACTCACCACTGACTCCTGTGGCAGTAGTAGAGGCTTTCATTTTCAAATTTTTATGTCATATTTTATTTTTTTAATGAATAGCAGTGTTACAGCTCTTTTAGAATTTGTCTAGCAGGATTTCCGGTCCTCACCGGAAGACCCCACCCCCACCCTGCCAAGAAAAATAAAATGAATAGCACACTTTATTTTGTTACTATTATTAATTGCTTTCAGACCTTAAATTATTTTTGTAGGTTTAGAGTAGGTTAAACAAATATTCTATATAGGTATTCTAACACTTTGGGACACTAGAATTAATTCGGAAAATGTTTCAAGATTATGAAAAATTGATTACTTATTCTCAAAAGAGCGTATGGCCATCATGTGCTTTTGTGTGTGTGTTGGAGCATCAGGGATATATAATTTACCAACACTGAATCATAAAAATTGTTTGCAGTATTAAACCATGTTTCTAAAACCTCACAGGGAACTATTTAGAGATGCTGCATAAGTGGTAGAAACTAAATAATCAGAGGAAAAACACAATTCAAGATAGTGGTTTTTACTTTGTAGATTAGGGGTAGGGTATAGGATTATACCGGAGTCTTTGAACAAAACCTTACATGAATAATCTTTTTTTGTTGTTGTTGTTAGTGTATTATGGGGGTACAAGTGTTAAAGTTACATATATTGCCCATGCCCCCCTCACCCCTTGAGTAAGAGCTTATATGAATAATCTTTAAAATTATGATCTTTATGGTGTTTGTAGGGTGAACTGCATAATGCAAGGCATAAATTACTAATAGTTTGATTATAGATTTTTTAAACTACCTAAATTTTAAGAATTATAGCATCATTTCTTACATTTGGATTCAGAATGATCAGGAGGTATTTGATGGACCTAAAAATGGCAAAACTATAGAGTTTTGACAGTTGCTATGTTGATACTAGTATTAAACCATATATTATAGAAAGATAGTTAAGTTGTACCCTGTCTAGGGCTCCTACCCGACCTTAAAGAGTTTTGTCACTGTTAAGAGCAAGATTGAAGCTCAGAATGGAGATAAGTGTAACCAGAAAGATAATCATAGGAGGTCTATTCATTTGTTTTACAAGATACACAGTTTGAGAAATTGGAAAAATGTTTAGAAGGATAGGCTGGGTGTGGTGGCTCAAGCCTATAATCCCAGCAACTCTGGAGGCTGAGGCAGGAGGATCACTTGAGGCCAGGAGTTCAAGACTTAGCCTGGGCAACCTAGCAAGACCTTGTCTCTACTCAAAAAAAAAAAAAAAATTAGCTACGTGTGCTGGTACATGCCTATAGTTCCAGCTACTTGGGAGGCTAAGGCAGGAGAATGCCTTGAGGCTAGGAGTTTGTGGCTACAGTGAGCTATGATCATCATGCCTCTGCACTCCAGCCTGGGCAACAGAGCAAGACCCTGTCTCAACCAAAAAAAAGAATGAAAACAAATAACCAAATATCGGGGCCGGGCGCTGTGGCTCACGCCTGTAATCCTAGCTCTTGGGAGGCCGAGGCGGGCGGATTGCTCAAGGTCAGGAGTTCAAAACCAGCCTGAGCAAGAGCGAGACCCCGTCTCTACTATAAATAGAAAGAAGATTAATTGCCAACTGATTATATATTATAAAAAAAAATTAGCCGGGCATGGTGGCGCATGCCTGTAGTCCCAGCTACCCGGGAGGCTGAGGCAGAAGGATCACTGGAGCCCAGGAGTTTGAGGTTGCTGTGAGCTAGGCTGACGCCACGGCACTCACTCTAGCCTGGGCAACAAAGCGAGACTCTGTCTCAAAAAAAAAAAAAAAAACAAAAAAACAAATATCGGAAGGATATCAGAGTGACAGCCTTTCAAAACTATAAACCTAAAATACTTCTGCTAATCACTTTGATTCCCTGTAAAAGACAAAATATAGCCCATGACTTTGTTTAAATATTACTAATATGTTTCACATTTTATGTTTCAGAAGTTGGACTTCATCGAATCTGACAGTTCTTGTTCCTCCGAAGCACTTTCAAAGAAAGAACTCTCTGCTGAAGAGCTATATAAGCAACTTGAGAAACTCATTATTGAGGACAAAGCGAATGATGAACAGATCTTTGACTGGGTAGAGGTATAAAGACTATATCACCTTCCCTGATATCTATCTCTGCAAGAAAGATTCTTGTGGCAGCCTCTTTAATTCACCTACCTGTCCTTTCACTTTGTGAGTTTTTAACCTTAACAAAGTTAGTTTTTAAATGCATTCTTCTTGTCATCCTTATAAAAGAGTTACAATTTTCTCAGTACCTGAAGGGTTTGTTTGAGGCAATGCTTGAGATTCACCTCTAATTCTCATTAAAATTAAGATGAAAGTAGGTTGGCATATGTAAGAACAGTTGCACACTACTGAGAAATAGTATTTATTTTATTTATTTATTTATTATTATTTTTTTTAGACAGAGTTCGCTTTGTTGCCCGGCTAAAGTGAGTGCCGTGGCGTCAGCCTAGCTCACAGCAACCTCAAACTCCTGGCTCAAGCAATCCTTCTGCCTCAGCCTCCAAGTAGCGGACTGCAGGCATGCCCACCATGCCTGCTAATTTTTCTATATAATTAGTTAGCCAATAATTTATTCTATTTATAGTAGAGACAGGCGTCTTGCTCTTGCTCAGGCTGGTTTCGAACTCCTGACCTCAAGCAATCCGCCGCTCGGCCTCCTAGAGTGCTAGGATTACAGGGGTGAGCCACGCACACCACCTGAGAAAATAGTATTTAAATGCAGTTGTGCTATAGTTCTTTAAATTTATGGTCTTAGATCATTTTTGAGGATAAAATATGTTTTTAGTGGTAGCACTTCCAAATGTACATAATACGTAATACTGTGTAATTGAATGAGCAGAATAGGCAGTAGTAAGCTCTCTGAAAACTAAATACTGCTACTTAGAACATTTTCACACAGAACTGCATAGTACAAACTATTTTCAGTGAATCAGATGTTGATTTTGCAAGAATATACAAAAATGTAACTCTAACTCCCTCTGCCCTTAGAGCATGTCAGCCCTGGTTTGGGGAAATAATTTCTCGATATGCAAAGTATCTTATTCCATTTCTTTTTACTTCAGGCAATCTAGATGAAAGCCAGATGAGTTCACCTACATTCTTAGAGCTTTAATGACAGCTGTTTGTAAAGCAGCTATTATAGGTAAGTGACATTCTAAAGGCAGCTGTTAACTCTGATGAATCTCCATTATGTCAACTAGTGATTATATGGTCTGAATTTATATTGTCTTCAAAACTTGCCCTGTATAGCTCAGTTTTCTGTGTAAATGGGTGCCATTCTGCCTATGGTGCCTAGCATGGGACAAATAGTGTTCGGCCTGCAAAGAACCCAGACTATTACTCACTGGAATATAATAGTTATACTAAGAAAAAAAAAAGAACTAATTTAAATAATTTTAAAAAAGAGAAGAACCCAGATCTGAGCAGCTATGCATGCCTTGTGTTCTTCTATTGACAGAAAGTTATTGCATGTTCCTTGGTTGTTTTTTAGTATGTTGCATGTAGCTTTTCTTTACCTTTCACCTCCAACATTATGGCCTTCTTCCATTCATGAGTTGTAGTGAATGAGTTGAATATTGTTAAACTCATATCAGTGAAAGGCCAGTCTCATCAAAAAAGTCATTTATGTAAATACAAATATGAAGGAAAAAATACAACGTTTTCTCCTTCACTTTGTTGACTTATTTTATATGGTAAGACAGTTTTATTGAATGTTTGTGAAGTGCATAGGTGGATGGAATAGGATTAGTAGAACTACCCTAAATATCCAAGCAGCATACAATATTCAACAATATTAATGAGACCATCTACTTACTCTCTGTTAGAAATCACATTTCTCTTATTAACATGAAAAAAATCCATCAGCTCAAAAGTTGTCTCAGAATTTCAGCTCTATCTTTATCATTTTAGAAGATAGCTTCCTGCTACTTAATTTAGCTTCAGAATTGTAATTTAAGATTTCAATGAATTTATTTCAACGTTAGTTCCTTAATGATGAAATAACAAGCTAAGTGAAAGTTCTCATACAATTTAAAATCATTTCAGTATCCATAGACCATAAGACTTTGTGTTTAAATCAAAGTTGAATGTTGGCTTTGGCAGCACTTATACCGAGAATTGAAACTATACAGAGAAGATGAGCATGGCCCCTGTGCAGGGATGACCGCAAATTCGTGAAGCATTCGATTTTAAATATGTAAATAAATAATGAAATGAAAGTTGAAAAGTACTAATCTGTCTTTAAAACAAAATGTGTAGTCATCCTGAATTCAAAAAAAAAGAACAAAATTAAAAATGTGTCCAGTGATAACTTAGAATATAAAACCTTATGCTTCTTGGCACTGAGGATACTTTAGCCCCTTTTATCATACCTTCAACGAGAAGGCCAAGATTAGTTATGTTATTTGCCACTGTCACAATTAGTCCTTATCCTCCTAATAAAAATAAAATGGTTCTAATTCTTTTACCCTCCTGAAAAGCTATGTATTAACTATCACTTTAATTTCCTTTTATTATGTTGCTTTTTTAAGTACTCGAATTCCTGCTTTATTTTTTAATTTATCTTATTTTTGAATGACCAATCATAATTGTATGTATTTAGGGACACATGTGATCTTTTGATATATGTATACAACGTGGAATGATTAAATCAAGTTAATTAAACATAGCCATCACCTCACCCATTTTTTATGGTCTGACATTTCATTAATGTTGTTCTTGTAGTTTGTCATAAAACCACTATCACTGTTACATTATGATTAAAGATAAATAACTGGATAACTACTCTTGAAGGAAACCAGCACTCAGAATGCATCCTCCCTGCATGGTTTTATTATTTCCGAGAGAATGTACCATTAAAAATTTTGGAGCATTTTGGATTTCAAAATCTTGGACCTTGCATATGTGGTCCAATGTGACCTCTTCCCTTGCATAGTCAAATGGGTCTTACCCACTCAGAAAATTGAAAATGGTTCTGTGTGTTAACTCCTTAAATGTAATGCCTGATTTTTCCCTCACCTCTAGCTGACTGTTCTACCTTCAGAGTGGACACTGCTGTTATCAAGCAGAGAGTGCCGATCTTACTCAAGTACCTAGACTCAGATACAGAGAAGGAACTGCAAGCACTTTATGCACTACAAGCATCAATAGTAAAACTTGATCAACCTGCCAGTAAGTTCATCTCATGTTACAGTTGACCTAACCAATGGGTGAGATTTACCTAGCCAAGACTTCAGAGATGGTTTGGGCTTTGAAGATTGGACAATAGAAGAATCACTAGTAACAAAAATTCAGATAACCAACAATTTTAATAAATCTGAATTTGTTAACCAGACATGGTCAGGCATGCCTGTAGTCCCAGCTACTCGGGAGGCTGAAGCAGGAGGATCACTTGAGCCCAAGAGTTTGAGGTCACAGCAAGCTATGATCCTGCCACTGCCCTCATGCCCAACAAAGCAAGACCGTGTCTCAAAAAAATCTGAATCTGGTATATAATTGTATGAGAAAATGACAATAAGAAAACTGGTTTATATTAGAAATTTAATTCTCAATCTAGGGTAGGCCTAATAAAACTTTCTGCAATGACGGAAATATATTTGTACTGTCCAAAATGGTAACCGTGTGGCAGTTGTGTACTTAAATGTGGCTATTGTAACTGAGAAACTGAATTTTTTCATTTTATTTTATTTAAATTTAAGTAACCATATTATACAGTGCAGGTCTAGGGCATGGAAATGGTTAAGTGGTCTTGAGGATGATACTCTTCAAGATCTTTAGACACCTATCAAAGACCTTACATATAGTATGTTTATCATGGTGTATTTATTTGCTAAGGCAGATTAGAATAGTTTTTAGTTAAGAGTTATGGTTAATTCTTTGCTAACCATACAAATAAGATAATCTGCACACTGAAGTCTTAGTGATACTTATTACTTAATAAATTCTCTTACATTTTGAAAATTCAGTTGAAATTTGTGAAAGTGGATAGTACATGGCTGTTTTAGAGATAACACTAAAAGTAGTTATTTGGTATTTATTTTAGGTTTTGGCTTTTCTAAACTTTTCCTTCTTTCCTACTAATGGTGAATCCCTCTGGGAAATAAAGGAAAAGATTGAGGCTAGGCGAGGTGGCTCACACCTTTGATGCCTAGCACTCTGGGAGGCTCAGGTGGGAGGATCACTTGAGCTAAGGAGTTCGTGAGACCCCATCTCTACTAAAAATAGTAAAAATTAGCCGGGCATGGTGGTGCATGCCTGTAGTCCCAGCTACTCGGGAGGCTGAGGCAGGAGGATCTCTTGAGTCTAGGAGTTTGAGGTTACATTGAGCTAGGCTGATGTCTTGGTCCTCGTAGCCTGAGCAACAGAATGAGACTCTGTCTCAAAAAAAAAAAAAAAAAAATTGAAACAGATTTTCTTCAGAATGTAACTGAAGAGACATCTAAGTCTAAATCAGAGAATTTAATTTGATTTTGTCTTCTTCCTCTGAAGATCTTTGAAAGGTCATTTAACATTATGGCTTCCATTTTCTATTCTTATAGGAAGAGGACACATAACTTTTTATTTTTTTATTTTATTTTTTTTTCATGCCCAAAGGTCCTGAGCTAAACATAACTTTTTAAATTAGCTGGTTAAGTGATGGGATGAAATACTGTGTGCTCAGCCCGTCAAATTAAATTATCTCCCATAATTATTAGTTTGAGTAATTACTAGAGAAATATTTATTTCTACGCCGGGCGCAGTGGCTCACGCCTGTAATCCTAGCACTCTGGGAGGCCAAGGCGGGCGGATTGCTCAAGATCAGGAGTTTGAAACCAGCCTGAGCAATAGCGAGACCCCTCTCTACTATAAATAGAAATACATTAATTGGCCAACTAATATATATAGAAAAAATTAGCCGGGCATGGTGGCGCATGCCTATAGTCCCAGCTGCTTGGGAGGCTGAGGCAGTAGGAATGCTTGAGCCCAGGAGTTTGAGATTGCATCACAGCACTGTCTCAAAAAAAAAAAAAAAAAATTCATTTCTAGATTTACCACCATAGCTAAAAAAAAAAAAGATAAATACTCAGAGCCAGTAGTAGCTAAAAAAGAAAAAAAAAAAATAGATTTACCACCAGCAGAACACTGGCCACTTGCTTCCATTTCCCCATAGACAAACTGGGGTTTAGAGAATGAAAAGTGATTTCAATATTAGCTTTACTAATATAATTAGAAAGATAAATCTTTTTTTTTTTTTTTGAGACAGCATCTCGCTTTGTTGCCAGGATAGAGTGAGTGCCGTGGCGTCAGCCTAGCTCACAGCAACCTCAAACTCCTGGGCTCAAGCGATCCTACTGCCTCAGCCTCCCGAGTAGCTGGGACTGCAGGCATGCGCCACCATGCCCAGCTAATTTTTTCTATATATATATTAGTTGGCCAATTAATTTCTTTGTATTTATAGTAGAGACAGGGTCTCGCTCTTGCTCAGGCTGGTTTCAAACTCCTGACCTCAAGCAATCCACCCGCCTCGGCCTCCCAGAGTGCTAGGATTACAGGCGAGAGCCACCTTGCCCGGCCAAAAAGATAAATCTAAAGAAAAGTTTTATTTATTTTTTTTATTTATTTTCTTTCTTTCTTTCTTTTTTAACAGTCCAACTTAACCCTTGTAAATAAAGAAAAGTTTTAGTGTGATTCATTCTAAACTTAGTATTTATTATCATTTATTGTTTATTCTATTACCTCCCTCCCTTAATATGAAAGAGCAGAGAGCTGACTAAAAAGGAAATTAAGAGCCTATAATGAAGGAATTATTTATTTATACAACCTATATTTATATATAAATAAAACTATTTATTGAAACTTAATATCTCTACAAACTTTCTCTCTTTTTTGAAGAATATAAGCAAGGTTTCCATTGTGAGAGTAAAACAGAATTAAAACTACTCAGATAACTTGGACATTTAAAACAATAAAAACAACTGCAGTTTCACTGGATAAAATGCAGATGAGGTAGCTTTGCCCATGTTTTCCATGTGAATGATTACTCTTTTCATTTTTAAAGTACAACATTAGAAGTGGAGAAAAGCATATCCTGCTTTTCCCCAAAAAGTTGTAAAAACAATACTGTAAACTTTCAAGCAATACAGAAATATATTAAGAAGAAAGTAAAAAATTACTCTTTAATTTTTGAAGTGTTTAGGTTGAGAACTACATAATGTGAAACAGCTTCACCAGTATAAGAAAATAGTTCAAATTTAACAAAATAATAGGAATAAAAAATAAGTTAGACTGCTTAAAGCTTCTTTTCCTCTTCTTTACACAGTTGTTATACTGTTATCAAGAGCAAGTATGATAAATTGTCATTTATTGCTTTTTTCTGAGAGAATTAATGTGTATTCATTCATTCATTACTTACTTACTTAGAAATACATGTCTTTCCTCACAACTACAGTGCCCCAAAATTTGTGGTCTATTTTCACCCCTTTGCAGATTTGCTACGGATGTTTTTTGATTGCCTATATGATGAGGAAGTGATCTCCGAGGACGCTTTCTACAAGTGGGAGAGCAGCAAGGATCCTGCAGAGCAGAATGGGAAGGGCGTGGCCCTGAAATCTGTCACAGCATTCTTCACGTGGCTGCGGGAAGCAGAAGAGGAGTCTGAGGATAACTAAAACTTCAAATACACAAAACGAAACAAAAGAAAAACAATATAAGTATTTTTTTAAAAAGTTTCACGTCTTCGCCAATCACAGTGCAGCAAGGCCAATTCTCGCAGAAACCCCCACGTGTGCACGAGTGGGAGAGGGGAAAGAGAAAAAAAGGTGATCATGGAGGAAAAAGGTACTGGAAAAAAGTAAACTTCAAACCTGAGGGCGGGAGCACTAAAACCAAAATACATATATTATTTATAGAAAATATTTTCTGTTTTAATCTTTTCTTTTTAAACAAGGACTCATACTTTAAAAATACATGTTTAGCAAAAAAAAAAGTTGAGAACTTTTAATTTATTTTAAGGACTGCAAATGCCAGTGTAATTTTTTAATTTGCAGTTTCTGTAAACAACTTGTATAATAGAAAAGCAGAGAAATAAATTTCCCTCCCCTTCAGATGCACCTCAAGTTTGTTTTAAGGCATAGTAGTTAGTCCAGATTTGAGAAGGTTTGGGGTGAACAAGGTAAGAAAGATATATATATTTTTTTTGGCATCAAATCTTTCTGCCTGCCTCTCAGCTTGCTTCAGAAAATTAAAAAATCATAATAGTAATCAAAACATACATAACCTTGGAACAGAAGGAAATGCTGTGGACCAGAGAACTCCAAGAATTGTTTAAAAAAAAAAGTGCTACCCTGGGAAAAGTACTCTTAATACTTTTGAAATCTTTAGAGCAACTTTAAGGCTTGTAAATACATAGAACAAATATTTAAAAAAAAACAAAAACAAAAAGAAATTGACTCAATACTATTTCTTTTCACATTCAAAATATAAAGAACAAAATAAAGACAAACATTGCAAGTTTAAAAGAAAGTAAAGCGACTTCTCCTTTTGACAGCTGCTGTATGTGTGCCCATTTCTGGGAGGCTATTTGGCTATTTGTTGTCTAATCCAGATCACTTCTGAGGAGCGTGCATGCGTGTGTGTGCAAGCGCGTGTGCGTGGGTGTGCATGTGCAAACACGTACATATATGTGTCTGTGTCTACTTTGTAGGTAAGGAGGGCACTGTGCTTGGGTGGGAATGTCCCTCTGGGCGAGGAGGAGAAACTTCTTTCCAACACAAACTAGAAATGCATTCCGGTGAAAGCAAACCTAAAGGGCAGGTTTTTTTTGTTTTTTTTTTCTTAAATTGAGACAGAGTCTCACTTTGTTGCCCTGGCTAGAGTGCTGTGGCGTCAGCCTAGCTCACAGCAACCTCAAATTCCCTGGCTCAAGCAATCCTGCCTCAGCCTCCCGAGAGTAGCTGAGACTACAGGCATGCACCACCATGCCTGGCTAATTTTTTCTATATATTTTTAGTTGTCTAATTAATTTCTTTCTATTTTTAGTAGAGACGGGGTCTCACTCTTGTTCAGGCTGGTCTTGAACTCTTGACCTTAAGAATGATCCTCCCACTTCGGCCTCCTAGAGTGCTAGGAATACCGGTGTGAGCCACCACGCCTGGCCTAAAGGGCAGTTTTTTTAAATAACTTAGTGTTCTACTTGTATATATCAGGACTGAGGACACTAATTTGCTTTGAGATTACGACTGCCACTGGCTTTAAAATCTTCCATCAGTTGCCTACAGTGCTTAAGAAACGGAAGATTGTTTTAAAGAAATGACAAAACCAGAGCTAGATTATGCTTTTTTAAAAGTAGGGGGGGATTTAAAACCAAACCAATACCATGTGAAAATCACATTGTTCCCTAACTCCAGCTTCATTCAAGACATTCTGGTGAGTATAAAGCCAACTGTGGGCCTCTGTTGGTCCTTCTCTTCTCCTACAGATACTGGAATGTTGGCTTTTATTTTTAGTTTTCTCTTTGATGAAGTTGCAGTCTCTACAGATGGTTTTCCATTTCAATGTTTGTGGGTATCCCCTGCAGAATTATTTATGAAGAACCCAGGCTGTCCCAAATAAACAGTCTTTGTGTTTTATATCTGGATAACCAAAGATATGCTGGCTTCCACTCTGAAAAATATCCACTTTAGAGACTTGGCAAGACTTGCGAAGCACAAGAATAAAATTTTCCATAGCAATAAAGTTTTCTCAAGTGTAGTTAAACACATACAGGATCCCACTACATGAGCTCACAGAGCCATTCTTAGTGGTGGAAAGCTGTTCTTGAAGAACGAAGTCCTGAAAGTCTTTTGACAGGCAGTGACAGCATCTGTCATAAGATGGGTTCTGAAAAGCTGTTTTGTGGTCTGGCTGCAGGCTTGGAAACCCTCAGTTGGGGAAAGCAACCTGTTCTGTGATAAACTTAGTT